ACGCGGATCTCGCATTTCAGGCGGATCTGATCCCGCCCTCCAGTCGACGCGGAGCCCGCGTTCCCGGCGACACGGAGTCCGCGTTCCAGACGACGCGGAGCCCGCGTTCCAGACGACGCGGAGCCCGCGTTCCAGACGACGCGGAGTCCGCGTTCCAGACGACGCGGAGCCCGCGTTCCAGACGACGCGGAGTCCGCGTTCCAGACGACGCGGAGCCCGCGTTCCAGACAACACGGAGCTCGCGTTCCCGGCGACGAGAAGCGCGCCCTCCAGGTGACCTGGCTACGACCACCGCGCGCACAACTAAAGTGGATACTGCGGAGTGACGGGGAGCAAGGTGCAGCACACGCCCCTGCGGATCGCTACAGAGGATAGCCCAGGTGAGTGCCCAATTCTCTGCTACTGCGACTATAGTACAGCGACAATGGTCGCTGCTGCCTTGAGGGTCCTATCACGCTCACGTGTCACGAGGCAAAGGCACACAACTGCAACCAGAGTTGCTGCTGCCTTGGGCTTGCTTTCACCACTGTAAACCCACCTGTTCTGTCCCAAGGCAGCAACATCTTTGGATGCTGCTGCCTTGGGCTTGCTTTCACCATTGTAAACCCACCTGTTCAGTCCCAAGGCAGCAGCACCTCTGGATGCTGCTGCCTTGGGCCTGGTTTCAGCACCATGCCTCCACCTGTTCAGTCCCCAGGCAGCAACAACCAGAGTTGCTACTGCCTTGGGCTTGTTTTCACCACTGTAAACCCACCTGTTCTGTCCCAAGGCAGCAGCACCTCTGGATGCTGCTGCCTTGGGCCTGGTTTCAGCACCATGCCTCCACCTGTTCAGTCCCCTACTGCCTTGGGTTTGCTTTCACCACTGTAAACCCACCTGTTCTGTCCCAAGGCAGCAGCACCTCTCGATGCTGCTGCCTTGGGCCTGGTTTCAGCACCATGCCTCCACCTGTTCAGTCCCCTACTGCCTTGGGTTTGCTTTCACCACTGTAAACCCACCTGTTCTGTCCCAAGGCAGCAGCACCTCTGGATGCTGCTGCCTTGGGCCTGGTTTCAGCACCATGCCTCCACCTGTTCAATCCCCAGGCAGAAACCACCAGAGTTGCTACTGCCTTGGGCTTGCTTTCACCACTGTAAACCCACCTGTTCAGTCCCAAGGCAGCAACATCTTTGGATGCTGCTGCCTTGGGCTTGCTTTCACCATTGTAAACCCACCTGTTCTGTCCCAAGGCAGCAGCACCTCTGGATGCTGCTGCCTTGGGCCTGGTTTCAGCACCATGCCTCCACCTGTTCAGTCCCCAGGCAGCAACAACCAGAGTTGCTGCTGCCTTGGGCTTGCTTTCACCACTGTAAACCCACCTGTTCTGTCCCAAGGCAGCAGCACCTCTGGATGCTGCTGCCTTGGGCCTGGTTTCAGCACCATGCCTCCACCTGGTGAGTCCCCAGGCAGCAACAACCAGAGTTGCTACTGCCTTGGGCTTGCTTTCACCACTGTAAACCCACCTGTTCAGTCCCAAGGCAGCAACATCTTTGGATGCTGCTGCCTTGGGCTTGCTTTCACCATTGTAAACCCACCTGTTCAGTCCCAAGGCAGCAGCACCTCTGGATGCTGCTGCCTTGGGCCTGGTTTCAGCACCATGCCTCCACCTGTTCAGTCCCCAGGCAGCAACAACCAGAGTTGCTGCTGCCTTGGGCTTGCTTTCACCACTGTAAACCCACCTGTTCTGTCCCAAGGCAGCAGCAACCGTGGATGCTGCTGCCTTGGGCCTGGTTTCAGCACCATGCCTCCACCTGTTCAGTCCCCAGGCAGCAACCACCAGAGTTGCTACTGCCTTGGGCTTGCTTTCACCACTGTAAACCCACCTGTTCAGTCCCAAGGCAGCAACATCTTTGGATGCTGCTGCCTTGGGCCTGGTTTCAGCACCATGCCTCCACCTGTTCAGTCCCCAGGCAGCAACAACCAGAGTTGCTGCTGCCTTGGGCTTGCTTTCACCACTGTAAACCCACCTGTTCAGTCCCAAGGCAGCAGCATCCTTTGGATGCTGCTGCCTTGGGCTTGCTTTCACCATTGTAAACCCACCTGTTCAGTCCCAAGGCAGCAGCACCTCTGGATGCTGCTGCCTTGGGACCTGGTTTCAGCACCATGCCTCCACCTGTTCAGTCTCCAGGCAGCAACAACCAGAGTTGCTACTGCCTTGGGCTTGCTTTCACCACTGTAAACCCACCTGTTCTGTCCCAAGGCAGCAGCACCTCTGGATGCTGCTGCCTTGGGCCTGGTTTCAGCACCATGCCTCCACCTGTTCAGTCCTCAGGCAGCAACAACCTGAGTTGCTACTGCCTTGGGCTTGCTTTCACCACTGTAAACCCACCCGTTCTGTCCCAAGGCAGCAGCACCTCTGGATGCTGCTGCCTTGGGCCTGGTTTCAGCACCATGCCTCCACCTGTTCAGTCCCCAGGCAGCAACAACCAGAGTTGCTGCTGCCTTGGGCTTGCTTTCACCATTGTAAACCCACCTGTTCTGTCCCAAGGCAGCAGCAACCGTGGATGCTGCTGCCTTGGGCCTGGTTTCAGAACCATGCCTCCACCTGTTCAGTCCCCAGGCGGCAACAACCAGAGTTGCTACTGCCTTGGGCTTGCTTTCACCACTGTAAACCCACCTGTTCTGTCCCAAGGCAGCAGCACCTCTGGATGCTGCTGCCTTGGGCCTGGTTTCAGCACCATGCCTCCACCTGTTCAGTCCCCAGGCAGCAACAACCAGAGTTGCTGGTGCTTTGGGCCCTTTCTCTAATGCGTGCACTCACCGCTCGGTGCTGCATGACGTGCATTTGCACATTTCTGCAGACATCTATAGATGCCCTAATCCTTGTCCCTGCTGTGCCAACGCCCTAACCACCCATCTCCTTCCTCTCCTCGGGGTATGCGCTGACATGGTTTCAGATGGCAGGGGTTGGTGTAGGTGCGGGAGGGCATCCTGCAATACAAGCATGTAAGGATGTCCAGAGAGGAACGGTCAATATTTCGGTCCACATGCGGCCACTTTTGTGTGTTCTCCGCATCGGGCTCTCGGCATTGTACCTTGGGGACACGATGGCGACGACAGATGATGTGATTCACTTTTTGGTTGAGTCAGCACCCCAAGCGACCAACCGACTTATTGAGGCGGGCCTAGCAGCAGGTATGACACAAGGTTTGGGCGAGCATGTGATGTGTGCATGATCTGAAGTGCTGGTTGTCTTTCTATCGAATGTCCTACACCCGTGAAATGTATCACATGCCTGAACATTCTCTGCCTGCACATTCTCTGCCTAACAGATCCTGCTTCAAACGACACTCATACCGGCGTAATTGTGGAAAGACATCGAAAAGAGTACGGCCGCATCTTCAAAGAACGCGCGAAAGGAACTATGGAGGATGTAGTAGCCCTGCATCAACGGCCCAATCGAGTGTTGGCCGGGCTTAGATACTCCTTCCCACTGGTGCAGTATGATGCGCGCGGAAGACTGCGACAGGTTTCCCTGCCCTGCCCTGCCATGTCCTGCCCTGCAATGCCCTGTCCCGCCCCGCCCCGCCCTTGTCAGCACCCTCATTTTTCTGCGATGCCATGACTAGAGGGGCCATGCCTGCCCTGCTTTCTCATGGCCCGCCCTGCCCTTGTCTGCACCATCCGCGTCATGCCATGCCTCTCCCATGCCATGCCATGACCTGCCCTGCCCTCCCCTGTCATGCTCCGCTCCGCCCTTCTCCCTCCCCCCCTCCAGGCATGCCCTGCCATGCTCTGCGGATGAGATTATTCATAGCTACAGGGACACCACCCTAAATTCTGGCTTATCCTCCTTCTCATTAGCTATAGCTGCAGGTTACCACTGTGAGAGGGATAAGGCGGAATTGCCATCGGATCAAGGGGATGATGTGGCAGACGCAGTGATAAAAGATGCGGAGGAGTGGAGCGACGATAGTGATGAGTGGTGGCTAGCAGGCCACTATGACGGAGAGGAAGTGGAGGTGTGGGTGGCAGGTCAGGATGAATAAATGGGGTTGTGTTTCCATCCCCACTGCGCTAATGTGGTCTTGAACATGTCATGCTTGAATGTGTGTGGAGGACTATGCCATTCTGTCCTAAACCTAATCATGCTAAGAGCGAAATAAACTTGCACATATTATAGTTGCAATATACGTTACACGTGCGGATGAAGTTAGCCCGGTGAAACTACTCCATTGCTTCGATTCTTGAGACCCTAATCCAGCTCATGTTCCATTCTGCCTAGGGCACTAGCTTGTTTGGTATCCCAAAAAGGATATATCCATGATGATGTGTAACAGTTATCTTACTCCAAAGGTGTCAGTGCCCAGCTCTGTTTGCACTTTATTGCAAATTATTGCCGAGGTAACCACTTGGCATCCAATGTACACTACTTCAGGATGGCTTATACTTGCATTTCACAAGGACCTCGTTCACAATGCGCAGTGAAGTGAGCCACAGTACTGGAATCGACACACCAGTTAGCCTGCCAACACATGGCAGATGCATGGGTGGGATAGAAGGCGCACGACTTGAGGGCTCAAAATTTTACCGGTAGTAGCTCAGAGTAGGAGCAGACGAACCAGTGGCAGCTATAGGATCTCTGGAGGGACTTGCTGCTGCTCTTGAAGCAGAAAAGCAGGAGTGCAAGGGCTGACAGCAGGGGTGCAAGGGCTGACAGCAGGGGTGCAAGGGCTGACAGCAGGGGTGCAAGGGCTGACAGCAGGGGTGCAAGGGCTGACAGCAGGGGTGCAAGGGCTGACAGCAGCGGTGCAAGGGCTGACAGCAGCGGTGCAAGGGCTGACAGCAGGGGTGCAAGGGCTGACAGCAGGGGTGCAAGGGTGGAAAGCAGGGGTGCAAGGGTGGGAAGCTGGGGTGCAAGGGTGGGAAGCAGGGGTGCAAGGGCGGAAAGCAGGGGTGCAAGCGTGGGAAGCAGTGCATAGGTGGAAAGCGGGACCAGACGAAACAGTGACAATTTGAATTCACATTAGCGGTGGGTATGTGAGGAGTGGGTGATATGAAGGGAGTGGGAAGTTTGGAACGAGGGTGTAGGGATATGAGAGGAGCAGGGGGTATGAGGGGACTGTGGGGTATGAGAGGAGTTGGGCGTACGAGGGGAGTGCGGGGTATGAGAGGAATGGGGAGTATGAGAGGAGTGGGGGGAGTCCACTGTATGGAATGAGTGGGGGGTATGAGAGGAGTGGGGAGTATGAAAGGAGTGGGGGGTATGAGAGGAGTGGGGAGTATGAAAGGAGTGGGGGGTATGAGAGGAGTGGGGGGTATGTTGCAGCATGCCGCTGGTCACTGAGATTGCACACAAGTCACTGAGATTGCACACAAGTCACTGAGATTGCACACAAGTCACTGAGATTGCACACAAGTCTGCTGCGCTGCCCCCCTGTTGCGCGTGCGTCCCCCCTTTTCTTAGCGATTGTACATGGGGAGGGAGAGGATGGGGGGGGAAGCAGGGAAGGGGATGGGGGGAAGCGGGGAAGGGGATGGGGGGAAGCGGGGAAGGGGATGGGGGGAAGCAGGGAAGGTGAAGGGGGGAAGCAGGGAAGGGGATGGGGGGGAAGCAGGGAAGGGGATGGGGGGAAACAGGGAAGGGGATTGGAGGAAACAGGGAAGGGGATTGGGGGAAGCAGGGAAGGGGATGGGGGGAAGCAGGGAAGGGGATGGGGGGAAGCAGGGAAGGGGATGGGGGGAAGCAGGGGAGGGGATGGGGGGGAGCAGGGAAGGGGATGGAACATGAACGGGACGGGATGGGGGGAAGCAGGGGAGGGGATGGGGTGAAGCAGGGAAAGGGATGGGGGAAAGAAGGGAAGGGGATGGGGGGAAGCAGGGAGGGGGATGGGGGGAAGCAGGGGAGGGGATGGGGGGAAGCAGGGCAGGGGATGGGGGGAAGCAGGGAAGGGGATGGGGGGAAGCAGGGAAGGGGATAGGGGGAAGCACGGGACGGGGATGGAACATGAACGGGACGGGATGGGGGGAAGCAGGGGAGGGGATGGGGTGAAGCAGGGAAAGGGAAGGGGGGAAGCAGGGAAGGGGATGGGGGGAAGAAGGGAAAGGGATGGGGGGAAGCAGGGAAGGGGATGGGGTGAAGCAGGGAAAGGGAAGGGGGGAAGCAGGGAAGGGGATGGGGGGAAGAAGGGAAAGGGATGGGGGGAAGCAGGGAAGGGGATGGAACATGAACGGGACGGGATAGGGGGAAGCAGGGGAGGGGATGGGGTGAAGCAGGGAAAGGGAAGGGGGGAAGCAGGGGAAGGGATGGGGGAAAGAAGGGAAGGGGATGGGGGGAAACAGGGAGGGGGATGGGGGGAAGCAGGGGAGGGGATGGGGGGAAGCAGGGCAGGGGATGGGGGGAAGCAGGGGATGGGATGGGGTGAAGCAGGGAAAGGGAAGGGGGGAAGCAGGGAAGGGGATGGGGGGAAGCAGGGAAGGGGATGGGGGGAAGCAGGGAAGGGGATGGGGGGAAGCAGGGCAGGGGATGGGAGGAAGAAGGGGAGGGGATGGGGGGAAGAAGGGAAGGGGATGGGGGGAAGCAGGGAAGGGGATGGGGGGAAGCAGGGAAGGGGATGGGAGGAAGAAGGGGAGGGGATGGGGGGAAGAAGGGGAGGGGATGGGAGGAAGAAGGGGAGGGGATGGGGGGAAGAAGGGAAGGGGATGGGGGGAATCAGGGAGGGGGATGGGGGGAAGCAGGGAAGGGGATGGGGGGAAGAAGGGGAGGGGATGGGGTGAAGCAGGGAAGGGGATGGGAGGAAGAAGGGGAGGGGATGGGGGGAAGAAGGGAAGGGGATGGGGGGAATCAGGGAGGGGGATGGGGGAAAGCAGGGAAGGGGATGGAGGGAAGCACGGGACGGGATGGGGGGAAGCAGGGGAGGGGATGGGAGGAAGAAGGGGAGGGGATGGGGGGAAGCAGGGAAGGGGATGGGGGGAAGAAGGGAAGGGGATGGGGGGAAGCAGGGAAGGGGATGGGGGGAAGAAGGGGAGGGGATGGGGGGAAGAAGGGAAGGGGATGGGAGGAAGAAGGGGAGGGGATGGGGGGAAGAAGGGAAGGGGATGGGGGGAATCAGGGAGGGGGATGGGGGAAAGCAGGGAAGGGGATGGAGGGAAGCAGGGGAGGGGACGAGGGGAAGCAGGGAAGGGGATGGGAGGAAGAAGGGGAGGGGATGGGGGGAAGAAGGGAAGGGGATGGGAGGAAGAAGGGGAGGGGATGGGGGGAAGAAGGGAAGGGGATGGGGGGAAGCAGGGGATGGGATGGGGGGAAGCAGGGAAGGGGGTGGAGGGAAGCAGGGGAGGGGACGAGGGGAAGCAGGGAAGGGGATGGGAGGAAGAAGGGGAGGGGATGGGGGGAAGAAGGGAAGGGGATGGGGGGAATCAGGGAGGGGGATGGGGGGAAGCAGGGAAGGGGATGGGGGGAAGCACGGGACGGGATGGGGGGAAGCAGGGGATGGGATGGGGTGAAGCAGGGAAAGGGAAGGAGGGAAGCAGGGAAGGGGATGGGGGGAAGCAGGGAAGGGGATGGGGGGAAGCAGGGCAGGGGATGGGGGAAAGTAGGGAAGGGGATGGGGGGAAGCAGGGCAGGGGATGGGGGGAAGCAGGGAAGGGGATGGGGGGAAGCAGGGAGGGGGATGGGGGGAAGCAGGGTAGGGGATGGGGGAAAGCAGGGCAGGGGATACGGGGTAAGAGGGGATAGGATGGGGGGAAGCACGGCAGGGGATACGGGGAAACAGGGAAGAGGATGGGGGGAACGGGGGCAGATGCCGGGGAGAGAGCTGGGGGGAGGATGGTGGGGAGCAGAGAGGGAATCAAAACGCTGTTCGATTGTGGTGGCGGAAGCGACCACCTCTGTTTCTCCCCATCCGTTCCTCCCCATCCGTTCCTCCCCATCTGTTCCTCCCCATCTGTTCCTCCCCATCTGTCCCACCCCTTCGGATGGAATGAGGGAGGAAGGATGGGCTGGAGGTGGTGAGATGGGGAGAGGGGAAGAGCGGATGGAAACACGGATGACGAGGGGAAGCGCGAGTGACTGGGAGGCAAGCCCGACGACGGGACGCGCGGGCGACGAGGGGAGGCAAGGGCGGTGAGGGTCGGAACGGGTGATGAGGGGAAGCGCGAGCGACAAGAGGGAATGTCGGTGACGAAGGGAGGTGAGGGCGGCGAGGATCGGTGTGGGTCGACGAGGGTGATGAGGGGAGCGCGGGTGACGATCTGAAGCGCGGTATGTTTACTACTGGCAATTGCGACGAGGGGATGTGTGGTTAACGTGGGAGAGCATGGGCCACTACGGGAACATATGCGACCAGAGGGTCGGGGAGGGTAATGAGGGAAAGCACGGGCGACGAGGAAAGCGGTCTGACGTGGGCAAGAGCGGCCGACGAGGAGGAACATGTGCGACTAACGGCTGAGTGCGTTACGCGAACCAGTACGGCATTCGCGTGAGCGACCCGTGCCTAAAACGGTACGATCGTGACACGAGGCTGAATGGCAGCAAGTGTGACAAGATCCTGCGTGTGCGATGCGAGCTTGAATGCAAGACTGGAGTAACGCGAATCTCGTTTTCTAACGTAAGTGCCGTGGGTGTACGGGTTGTAACACGCGACCGGTGACGTGAGGGAGAGATTAGAGCGTGCACTGACTAACATGGTTGAGGTGGACATAAATTTCCTTCCGCACCCAAAAAAAACACCTATCAACGACTCGCTTTTGCCAACTAGCGCTAGTTTTTGCCTTAGAGCCTCCTAGCCTATGAGTACTACTTGGTAAGCAAGTTATGTGAGTGGTGAATAGTACAAATGGTTGGTGATCATCGCGTCAGTTCTGGTTTTGGGCACTCGGGTTCCGTTGTCGCAGGACGATTGCCTGGGGTCGCGAGAACTTTCTCAAAATAAGTAGGGTAACCCTGTTATTGGCGACTTCAAGTTCAAGAATCTTGAACTTGAAAATTACCATGCTGTACTCGGGCTTTAAGTGCAAAATCAATCATGCTTGCACCTCCCTCCCACACACCAAGTAAATAATAATTATTAATGTTTTTTAGTGAATAATGCTATAATATTGATTGAGTGATCTATGGCAAGTCTTTCTATCGACGATTATTACAGTCATCATCTTCAGGTTATCAGTCTTGGATAGTTATCGAACCAAATTCGGTAGGTGTACCGTTATCTCTATTATTGATATATTTTTGTAGCTCCAATGGTCAGTGTGTGATTGCGAAAACAATGATTCGTGCACTCATCACGCGCAATCAACGAAAACAGATGTCGAACCGCGACGTTGATAAGCAAGCAGTCGGACAAGCAACATTCTTTTCCCGCCATTCATCAACCGACGTGCCGCCACATCAAAATCCAACATTCGGAATTCGAGAGCTGTCCCTCAACCCCCGTCCCACACTGTCGGCGATTGTGAATTGGACCATCATCAGCCCCATTCCCCTCCCTTCCACAGCTGTCTTTCTCCTCGCGCCAACCCTTCATTCCGACAATAAAGCTCCACCATCGTCCCATATCGACGCGTAGCTGTGGTACGAGGTGAAATTAAGAGACCGACATTAAGGAAGCTCCGTGCATCGTGACAGGCAAACCCGCGCAAACCCGCGTGCATCGTGACGGGCATCTCATCAGCAATGGGGCAACGGCATGGTAGGAGACTAGTCCACCAGCACTCCCACAAAGTCTTAACGGCACAAGCAAGCTAATGCATGATTACGGAAATCTCGCATCCATATATCACTCTGATGAAATAGGTTCGTAGTTAGACGCAACGATCTGAAATCGTCAGCTTTATCTCGTTCCGGTTCCGTGCCTTTCAGGTGCCAAGAGTGTTCTCCTGGTCGCGCTTCTCTTCAGCCTGTTCGCCTCATGCTCGCACTCCTGGCAAGTCAAGTGTACTAGCGGACCTCTCTCCGGCTCCATTGGCCGAACCGTCAGTGAGTTTTCATGCACTGATTTCAGAATCTCGTATCCTACCGCACCGTTTCTCGCACTGATAGCCGTTGTCTCCTCGTACGCCGCGTGCCTTGTATATGATGAACCAGGTTTACCGCTCACATACTCCTCATTACCTCTCTCACCCGTTCCATCTGCCCTTGCCATTCCTAAATTACCTGCTCGCTTGATGAGCAGGCGTCACGAGGGCTGTGCTGAAGCAGCAGCGCATTCCTGGGTTCGTCTTCGGGAGGAGAGATGCCGATGGCGTTCTCACCATCACCGTTTACAAGTAAGCCCGCTATAAGCTAGAAACCAATATTCACGCAATTGATTTTTCTGAAACCCCTCCCCTTGTTCAGTAGTCTGCATGTCAGTCACGGCGTGCGAGACGCTCAGTGTGACATGGGATGGACGCATGAACCACGATCGTGAGAGGCAGCGGTGCTGAAAATTCGCCATGGTCTCGCGTGCGTGCAGGAGAGGCAATAACATCAACGTGAAATTCCGCCTCATTACGGAGAGCGTATTCGTCCCCACCACTCGGTACATTAACTTCGGTCCTGTGGGGTACGACGGGCCACCTCTGCTCTCGATTCCCGGTAGAGGCCGTATGCGCTGGCGCTTCGACGGACCCAAGTACTGGATCACGGGATGGGTCATGAACGCGCAACGGAAACCCTCGCTAAACGCTAGCAGGACTGTCGCAGATGTTCTACAGGAGGTTGATGCGAACCCCGGAACGCACTACGCGATTGTGAATAGCGCGGCGAATTGGAAGGGTGCGATTCGGGGGCAGCTGAGACGAGCGTTTTTCGTGCCGTGCGTGGCGGGGCGTGGGAGGCGATTCCTCTTAGACTCACCATAGAGCACATCTTGTGTAATGGTTGATATACAGAAGGTACTGTGGATTAGGTAGTGCGCACTAACTAGAAAGATTTCGAACATACGGTAGCAGCTTGACAGTATATACAAGTTTGCCTGTATAAACAGCATTTATGATGTCATTTATTCTTGCACTTTCAAGTGTAGTGAGTTACGTTCTAAACATTCCAGAAGTGTTCTGTGATGCTCTCCTTTTACCAAGTGTAAGGAATTTTCTCGATATTCCTTCGCGCCCTACAACATCGCGTACAGCAGCAGCCATTATTCGCCCGTTACTGCTAACGAGGCATCGCCAACTTCGCGTGCACTATTTCACCAAACCTCGCACTGCTGGCCAAGCCGCGTCGGCCTACGCTTCGGGACTAACTCGAGCCTCGCTGCCAGCATGGCATTAGATAGCTCGCACGCACCGCGTTACCGTTTGCATGTTTTGCGTATAAATGTTCGCTCATGCCTTCGCTCACATTTGATCCTCGTTTTGACACCTTAGTGCAATTCTCGCTACCGTACTTCGATCCATTGCACCCGTAACACTTGGTATTAAGAGCCTCTTTCCTTTCGGACCGCGCATCTCCGCACCCCAGGAAATCAACTTTTGATTTTTTCACTCGAAGGGAATCACGCACCTTAGCCCCTAAGAGCTGTCAGAAGTCCACTGGTGATCCCTGATTGATCCTAGGGAAGGATTACAGGCACGTTGGCCTGGGGGGTTATGGGCGCACTGACCCGCTACTTAACAAGCCCTTTTATCCCAATGGTCTAGTGGTTGGGATTCTGATATGGTATTAGAGCGAAGGTCTCGGGTTCGAATTCCGGTGTATGCACTTCGGGCATCCCAGTGCGGGGGGGTGTCAGAAGTCCACTGATGATCCCCGATTGATCCTAGGGAAGGGTTATAGGCACGTTGGCCTGGGGGGTTATGGGCGCACTGACCCGCTACTTAACAAGCCCTTTTATCCCAATGTCTAGTGGTTGGGATTCTGATAAGAGCCGCTGTCCTCGCGTTCTCTCGTTAACGCGTGCAGCCAGGACTGCGCCTAGACTAAGCCAAGCCGACGCCCTTCGTAATGGCCAAGCATATCGATGTCGCCACTCTCACGCCGAAGCACTTGAATGAGCTGCTGCGGCAAATCCGCGAAAGCTCTGGAGAAATTGCGGCGCTGACAGTAGAACGCACGTCCCTGCAAAACGACATCACAAGAGCACGGCGAGCAGCGCCTCCAGTAGCTAAGTCACCAGCTCCAGTGCCTCCAGCACCAACGCCGACCGCAGCAGGGCTCCCATCTCCAGCAGTGCGACCCTGACGGCTAACGTACCACTCACGTACCTGCTGTGGGGAGAGAGGGAGACGCCGACGAGAGAGCTGCGGCGAGGCCCCAGCGGAGCGACTACGGAGGCGGCCGCTCCAAGGAGACTGCACACCAGGCGCCTCAGTGCCCCCAGGTGCAGTACCCCCAGACTCAATACCCCCAGGCGCAGCACCCCCAGACTCCGCACCTTCAGGCTCAGCACCCTCAGGCTCAGCACCCCCAGGCTCCTCACGCTTAGGCTCAGCACCTCCCGGCTCCAAACCCCCAGGCGCAGCACCCCCAGGCTCCACACCCCCAGGCGCAGCACCCCCAGGATCCACACCCCCAGGCTCAGCACCCCCATTCGCCACACCCCCAGGTTCAGCACCCCCAGAAGCAACACCACGAGAAGGACCACCCCCAATAGGACCTGAGTCACCAGTGACCTCAACTGGCTCAGACACGGGAGGAGGGTCTACCTCAGACACACCTGAGGGAGAAGGACCTGGAGCGGGGAGGGGGTCTACCTGAGGAGGACCTGGAGCGAGAAAGAGCAGCGGGGGGGGGGGGGGGGGAGAGAGGCAGTGCGGTAGGGAAAGAGATGGTAAAAGGGGACCGACTCGTCAAAAGTGACGTCCTGAGACGCGAAGACACGGCGCGAGGCGGGGTCGTAAAACTGCCAGCCAGGCGCGTCATGGACAAAGCCAAGGAAGACACAGGGAATGGCGTGAGTGGAGAGCTTGTCCGCAGTGGTATCGCGGACAAAGGCACGAGCACCCTAGACCCGGAAACGCGACGCATCGCCAACCTCCCCCGTCCAACGCAGTGTGGGAGAAGTCTCCGGCACGGAGACACGGGGCCAGAGGTTGAGCTGATGCGCGGCGTACCGAACCGCAAACGGCCACAGAAAATGGGGGGCAGCCGCCTGGATCATGGATGTACGAGCGACCTCCATGACTAAGCCAATGCGGCACTCAACAACCCCATTCTGCTGCGGAGAGGCCGGAAGCGTGAACGTCTGGCGGATGCCATGCTCCTCACAGTAGGCTTGCAAGAGGTCGGAGGTGAACTCACCACCTCTGTCGGAGTGAAAACACAGGATAGGAAAGTCCGAGTGGAACCGCTCGTGGAGCTGGAGATGAACAGCGCGGATCCAAGGGATCAAAACATCAGGGACATCCCCCTTGCGCTGCAGGGGGAAGACCGTGGTGTAATGCGTGTAGTCGTCGATTACCAGCAGGAAGTACCGCTCGTGGCCCTGCCCCTGGACGCGGGCCGGGCGCCACACGTCCAGGTGGAGAGTCTGTAGTGGAGCCTCTGTGGGAGAGAACGAGGAGGAGTGAGGAGCGGCGTGCTGCCGCCCCTCGACGCAAAGAATGCAGGGCGGCGCAGGCGAGGGAGGGAGGGAGGGCAGAGACCTAGGAAGACCAGAGCCCAGGTGGCGAGAGTGCATGCCACGAAGGCGAGGCAGGGAGGGGTGACCAAGGCGGTGGTGCCACAGGAGAGTCTGGTGCGACAGGCTGCGACACTTACACTGGGTAGCTACCTGAGTGGACGCGTACTGAGGAGACAAAGGGGTGGAGCGCGACGCAGTGGTGAGGGTGTACAGACTGGACCCAGTCGCACGTGTGAACGTGGCCAGGTGGCGGCCGGTCCGAGAGCAAGTGCAGATCGCCACACGCTGTCCTCTAGGAGTTAAGGTGTCAACCCAGTGATCCTGAAGGACGGCGGTGCTCACCAGGTTTGTAGAGAACAAGGGGAGGTGGAGACCAGACAGCTCACCAGACGGGACCGCCGGACACGGAAGCATAGTAGTGGACCGTGCTAGCACTGGGCCCCCAGAGGGGTCAGCCAGTGAGACAGGGACAGGTGCAGGGAGGGCAGTGACTGTGGTGCTATCGCGAAAGAAACAGCGGGAAGCACCAGAGTCAAGTGTAAAGGTGTGCAAAGCCTGAGCGGACGCAGTACCAGGGAGAGCAGACTCGCTAGCACCTAGGGCTGCAGACTCTATACCTCGGCCAGGCGGCATACACAAGTAGCAGTCACCCTCAGCACTAACAGTCAATGCATACATGGCAGTAAGAATTGCATCATTGTCAAGATCAAAGATAGGAACACCACGCCAAGACAGGTCTGCCCAGTGGGGAAACTCAGTAGCCTCGGGAAACCTAGCGCGCCAGGCGTCGCTAAGCCTAGAGAAGCAGCGATACTCAGTGTGAGAACCATTGCATGGGCGACCAGTGCGGGGGCCTGTGCGAATGATATAGGGGCAACGAACAGGACCACCAGACGCCCCACGCTGAGCATACCAGTCACGACGTTGCTGAGGGGAGGGGGTCTGCTGCTGACGCTGCTATTGCTGTTGCTGCTGCTGCTGCTGTGGCTAATGCTGCTGCTGTCCCTGGCCACCAGTGGAGGTTCCCTTCTGGTCGCATCCACCCCAGGCCCCACCGCCGCTGCCACCACCGCTCCCTCCTCCCCCCCTACCGCCGCTGCCACCCCCACCGCTCCCAGTGCCACCGCCGCCCCCACCACCACCTCCACCCCCACGACCACCCCCAGCACCTCCACCTCCCCCACCGCCTCCACCACCGCCCCCTCCATCGCCACCTCCACCTCCCCTACCACCCCTGTTGCCCCTGGCGCTGCGGCGCTTCCCACTAGGAGTGAAAGCAGCCCTGACCTCCTCAGCACCAAGGTAGTCGAGAGCAGCAGCGGACGCATAGGAGGGGGCAAGAGGGGAGTGCGAGGAGTGCCACGAGCAGCACCTACAGCGAGAATGTTCTTTTCGGCTGCTAGGAGGTGCTTCTCAAAGTCGTCGACAGAGAGAGTGGTAGAGTCTAGCGCGAGAAAGTGGTCCCTGACTGAACGAAGAGTGTCAGGGAGGCGGGTGACGAGGAAGTAGAGAGTAAAGTACATCGGGGGGTGATTCTGGGCGAGGAACTTGTCTGAGAGGGCAGAACGAAAGTGAGTGTCGCTAGAGCGCAGGTGAGAGATGAGGTCATCAGCAGTGGTAAACGAGGACAGGTCAGGGAACAGGTAGGGTAGCATAAGGCGACCTATGGCTGCAGTGGCCGGGGAAGAGTAGCGGGCAACTACAGCGTCATACAATGCCCTAGCAGTCTTGTGCTGGCTAAAATGCGCACGCTCTGTGATCGGCAGATGGTTGCGAATAGCGAGGCGCGCGGCGGCATCGCGAGTCTGCCACTGTGAGCGGTCTAGAGCGGTTACAGTGTCAGCAAAAGCAACGGCAATGCCAGACGCGTGATCGTACAGTGAAACACCGTCCTTGGCATTAGTCAGAAGAAACAGTTCCAGGTCGTCGAGCAAAGTGGCAAACTCTATCGGGCGACCGTCAGGATCGAAAGCGAGGACATTGAGAGTTGCCATGAGTGCAGCGCAGGTGAGAGTAGCGCGTAGGCGGTAAGGCAGAGCACAGACAAGAGAAACTGCGCACAGGGCGGCAGTGGCGGCGCTCAAGCTGCTGGGGCGGCACGCACGTGCCAAGGGCGGCGCAGAGGGCAGCGGCGAGGCGCTCGCATGCTGCTGAAGCGGCACGCGGGGGGTAAGGCAGCGCGCGGAAGAAGCGGGCCACGCTAGGGCGGCGGACGCGGCGCGCTGGGCAGCAGCGGGCTGTGCGGGCGGCGAACACAGTGCGCGGGCAGCGAACGCGGCGCGCGGGGCTACAACGGGC